AAAAAAAAAAAAAAAAAAAAAAAAAGCTGCACCGTAAATTTACGTATAAATTACAATTGGCCGCCGCGGGAGCTGTCTTCTTCTTGCTCATCCGTTTAGGTCTCTGCTGGGTCGCCATTTGACTCACAGCAGTGAACTCTTGGCGTTGGGAGTATCTCAGGGGAGGATCATGTCTGGAGGAAGAGTAGAGGAAGATGAAGAACGAACTCGTCAGAGGAAGCTTGAAGAAGCCCTCGAAATCAAATCGCTTAGGCGGATTGTCAGTGCATACCTCAAGTACGTTCTTTTTTTTTTTTTTTTTTTTTTTTTTTTTTTTTTTTTTTNTTTTTTTTTTTTTTTTTTTTTTTTTTTTTTTTTTTTTTTCTTGTTTATCATTTACTGGATTGTCAATTCAACGATCGAGTTTCTTCTGTTTGAAGCATATATGTATTCATGCGCAACAAATATGAGTGTTTCACGCTCAGTCTTGGGCGTCGCTTTGAATTATGTTATTTCAGAAGTGTTATCGATGTATTGAATTAAGATAGCAGTGGAACCTTAAGCCAGGCAGAATCGTTGAGATTGAAGTATTGACTTGTTTCAACTGGCAGGTGGTTGCAGCGGTTATCTCCATTCGTTTAAACGCATTAGAATTTTCGAGCTTTAACGTCTTAACGTGAAAAAGAAATAAGTAAAATATTGGATAGTTCTAATTTGTATTGATTCTTTTGGGTCCAATCGAAATTATGAATTGGAGCTTAGGGAACCATCTCCTTTTCTTTCTGTCAAGAAAATAAAATCTCACTTGGATTGGGAGTTTCTCTTCTTTTACTTTCCATGTTTTCAATGCGAAGTTTCCTCCTTCCTTATTCATGAAAGGGTTTTATCCTAATTGTACAATAGCCAGTACTTGACTGCTGTCCTTCCGCTTCTCTTTGTCTTCCCTTGTTTATTGATTAATCACATTTGTTGAAAGTGGATATTTCTGTGCAATATCTCATCCCGTCATTAGTATATTGTTGAAGTAAAGTATGAATTTTGATACAGCTATCCAGAGGCTTCAGAAGAAGACGTGAAAAGATATGAAAGATCATTCAATAGGCTCCCGCCTGCCCATGAGGTAACTTGATATTTCTTCTGTCATTCGATTCTTGTTAGCTGGTAAATATTTGACTCAAATTTTCTGATAATTATAAACTATTATATCCTCCAAACAAATGAGAGAATTATTTAATGGATATAAATCAAAATTTATTGTTTAACCAAGAAATGAGAATTTTTCATTGATATAATGAAAAGAGATTAATGCTCAAAAGATACAAAACTCCATAAAGGAATGAAAAGAAACACCAAGAAGGATTACAAAAGATATAAATAGAAATCCAAATAAAACTATATCCTCATCAAAGATCCAAAATAATTATCCAACTAAAACATTGAAATAGAGGCCAAGAATGCTGAGCTTTGAACAAAATAGACCAAAAAAGGGAGGAGCCAAGGGAAACTGGAGAACATTTCTCATTACCTATAACTATATTTTCACATTAGCTGTGAGCTATGTGGTGAGGGGAAATGGCTATGACTTAATAATTATTACTATATTTTCAAGTTTGTTTTACATTTATCATTTTCAACACTTCCACCTGTGTAATATTTTCAAGTTAGCTTCCTTTTCACTCTCTTTAGTATTCTAATTTGTCTGTTGATCAACTTTTTTGTTGCTTGTGCAGGCTCTACTATCACACTTTCCCTTGAAGTTTGAGAGACTAAGAAGGTAGACTGAAATAGCTAATTTTTTATGGACAAGTATACAATTGATCATATCTTTGGCCCTGTTTTTGCAATTATGAAAAAGTATATTCATATTGAGATGACGTAATTGTTGAGGATTATTGGGAGTGGAAGATCATGGGTTTATAAGTGAGGAATACTATCTCTATTGGTATGAGGACTTTTGGGAAAGTCCAAAGCAAAGCCATGAGAGCTTATGCTCAAAGTGGACAATATCATACCATTGTGGAGATCCGTGATTCCTAATTGTGGAGATCCGTGATTCCTAATAGTAATATCTCTGTAGAGGATATCAATTTGCCTTTATGTTTCTTAATGACGTTGTTTTGGATGATTTTGAAATATTAAAAAGCTCAATAATTGTTCCAAGTTCGGTGATTGGGTGAAATCGTGATTTCGGGGGTTGTGGACTTGATTCCCGTATTGTATGGTTTTTTGTTCCTTCTTAACGTTTTTGCAATTATTAATCTTTTGCAACTGTAGTTCTGCCCAGAAGTTTCAAAAAAGTAAAATATAATAAAAACCTTCATTCACCGTTGAAAGATTATTGTGAAACTGCTGTTATTGATTCCTAATCACTTGGAAGATTTTCGTTTCCTACTCAATTCCATGGCCCTTACCCCACTTAGAACGTATCAAAATCAGTTGGTGGTTGGTCCTACCTAAGATTTAAATACCGATGGAGATAGAAATATTGAGATATTAATTTTATGGAGATATTTATTGAAATATCGATGGAATATTGATGTTGACAAATAAAATTGTAGAAATTAGTTACGTTAGAAAAATTATTTGAATTAGTGAATTAGTATTTTACACTCCTTAAGATAGTATTTTTGTTGACGAGTTTGAAAATTTGTCGATGTTATTACTTAATATTGAAATTATTGATTGACTTCTTCTATCAATATTTAACTCAAAATACCAGCACATTGATGGATATTCTTTTATGCCACACCCTCAATGCAATTAAAGACATTTCCTACTTTGTGGGATTTTTGGATGGCTTGGCATGGGAAAACTTGATTCTTTGGGAACTTGGGCAATGATTGGGAGAGAGAGTTTTCGTTATTATTATAGCAACTAGAGGGTTTTTGTTATTTATTATTTTTAAATCACTCAAGTTAGGTTGATCTCATCTCTCGATTACTTATGAATACTATAATTTCTGGTTTATAAGATGTTATTGGGAAAATAGTCACGGTTAGTTGAAAAATCAAACTTGTTGGTCCAAGGGGTTCTTTGTGAAGTTTTGTATGTGACGATGCTGGGGGATTGAATGAAAAAGTACACTCTGTAGGTGTATGTGCAAATATATTAAATATGCATGTAAGGTAACACATACTTCCATACAAAAGAACAGCGTTTCACATACATTTCGTTCCCTGATCTCTCCATTTGCAGGTTTTCGAAATTCTCTGTTTTTCTCTATATATAAGATGAGCTCCATTAATGCCTATGCCACTGATAGTCTAGCCTTTATTTCATACTAAACTGATTTTTCTTATAAGATAGTTCGTAAACAATGTTTGAAGCAGGCCATTGTTAGCTTCATAAAACATAACTGGGTAAATTATTGAACATGAGAGGAGAAGCTGTTGGAATGATTACTTTTAGAATGATATTATGGAAATTTTGCAGAATGTAATTGATCGACAAATTAACTTCGCAGGTGTATTTCTACAAATTCATATTTCATCTTTAACATGCTTCAGGTATGCCCTCTTGCCCTCTTTAAGTAATAAAAATTGATTATGTATAATCCCTATAATAGAATTACGTCAAGAGCTCCCAGTTAAAAAGAAAAGGACGACTGAATAATTTCCACATTTATAAATTTCAAAAGTTGAAAACAACTTCATTGAATAGTTTTGAAAGTGCAATGAAATGATAAAGAATGTATTATATTTTCACTGCCAACTTAGGCATAGCTCGATTGGTGAAGGCATTTATCCTCAACCAAGAGGTCAAATGTTTGATTGTAACTGGTTTCCTTCTAAAAGAAAACTCGGAAAGAAAAAAAATTGTTCGTAATGTACCCTCGCAGAGAATACTAATAAAAAAAGCTGGTTAAATGAAAAGTTTAGTCTTTTTACTTTGAAATTTGTGTTTATTTGGTCAATGAACTTTTAAAAAAATGCCGAATAGGTGTTTGAACTTTCAACTTTACGTCTAATAAGTCCTTGAGTTTTAAAAATGTTAGAACAAGTGTCTAATAATTCCTTGACATGTTTGCAAATTAAAAAAATTATAATATATCTATATAAATTTGAATTTTGTTTCTAATAAAATCTTAAATTTTCAATTTTGTGTCTAGTAGATTTGTGAAAAATTTATCATTGACATAAAATTCAAAATTTAGATATCTACTCGACATTCTAATATGTATGCCAAGGTTGAATCTTGTGAACTAGATCTCCAATTGGTTAAAGTAACGTGGTCTGTTCCTTTTCCCGTGTTAAAATTGATGCCAGGCATTTGAACCTCCAATTGATATGAGCCAAGACACTGATTGTTGCGATGATTCATGCCCTGATCATTCCCATGATGACCAATTTTGTTGTAGAGGAGAGAAGAATGCTAATGATCATTTATTTTCTCGGGAGAGCAATGTTTGTGCTTGTGAACCAACCTCAACAAGTGGAAGAATGTGTTTAGAATCCAAACAAATATGCTGTCCAGAAGGTGCAGTTGACTCGCCTAAGGCATCAACTATCAACAAGGTTCAGCAACAACGTGAAAATGGTTCTTTTAAATATCAATTTGTCTGGATATCTGCTTATGTTCAAATTAATTGCACGATCTATTTATCTATTATTTTTTAAAAAATTAATTATTAGTGGTCGTTCAACATGCATCGGAGATTGCTCTTTCAAATTAAAAGTTATTCTGGGGTATTTGTGTAGTGGATGCTTTTTGTCTTCTTTCTTTCAGCTGAAAAATAAGGAAACTTGACCTCTTTATATGATAGGAAGTGGAAAATGGAGTCCATCACGATCCTGCTCATAGGAATCATGATCAACATCTTGAAGAGAAGGAAGTCACGGATAAACACAGTGGACACTGTGTTTCTGATTGCAATGGCAATGTAATTTCTTTCAGTCATTACTAAATTCTACAACTTTATATGATTGTTGTACTTGATTAAAACTTCTGACATGGACTTATGAAAATCAATTATTACGTATCTCATTATGTATGTAGTATTCTACCATGATGATGAACTCCTTCAAACTGTCAGCTCTTTTTAACTCAAAAACGCATGTTTTGCCCTAATAGTATTAATTTTATTGATTTCATGTAGTTTGGATGACTACTGACACAAAATGACATTGTGATTCCTTCTACACAACTTGCATTTTGATGTGATGCAGGACTGTTCATCATCTCATGAGTGGCTGGAGCCGTCTCTACAGATGAATGTTCCATTGGTTGATGTTGATAAGGTTCGTTCATAGGAGCTAGTTCCATGAAAGTTTATTTACTTTTTACATCCTTCACGAGAACAGAAGACATGAACTTGAGAATTTTGTTCAACACCTCCTAATTTTCTTATTTGAAGCACATTAGTTTATCGTCATCAAATGTGAAATTGATCGGTCATTTTCTTTCTTTCTCAGGTCCGTTGTATTATAAGGAATATAGTCAGGGATTGGGCTGCTGAGGTATGTTTTGATTATCTTTGAAGACTTCATTGTGTAAACAAATATTAATCCGCTATCTTCTCTATTCTGATGTAGGGTCAAAAAGAGCGTGATCAGTGTTATAAGCCTATCCTTGAAGAACTACATTCCCTTTTTCCAGATCGAAAAAATGAGAGGTATGCTGAATGCTTTTTTTTTTTTTTAATTCAATTATGGTCAGCAGATTGAATAATCTGAACCTGGGGCATTATGTTTATCAGTCCTCCTGCTTGTTTAGTCCCTGGAGCTGGACTTGGACGACTGGCTCTAGAGATTTCATGTTTAGGTATGTACGTGAAGTTTCTAATTAGTATCTGATTGTATAGAAAATTAACCATAGCATTGCTCAATTACAAAACAGGTTTTATAAGTCAGGGGAACGAGTTCTCATACTACATGATGATATGCTCGAGTTTTATTCTTAATCAGTAAGAAAACTTTTATGTCAAAAACCATTTACCTTTGTGCATGAACCATGTTATTGCTAAATCCGAGCAATTCACTTTCAGATATTTATCTTGAAATGGCTTTCTTGAATTTTAGTACTCAAAAGGTTGGTGAATGGACAATATATCCCTGGATCCATAGCAATAGCAATTCACTTTCAGATAGTGATCAGCTTCGCCCTGTTTCAATCCCAGATATTCATCCCGCAAGGTATGTGCTTTCCTATATTCTCCTCATTTTTGGTCCATTTTCTCGGTACATAAACTATGTTATTGCTGTTATTCTTACCAGCATCATTTTCTCCTTTGTAGTGGATAATTAATATTTTAAGTTTTAATTTTTTATCAACATGGAGATGGGAGAATTCTATGGTAACAAATTTTAAACGTAAGGAATGTCCTAATACTATGGAATAACTTATCTTTTATTGAGTGATGTCTATAGGCTTCATTCACCAGTCACCACTCTGAAGCACCGATACTTTAGCATGTTGTTCTCTGAACATTTGTTGGACACTTTACCTTGAGCTAACATATCAATTATTAGGCAGGTTGCCCTCCCTAATAGTACCTATAGCCTGCTCTCCATGTTCCTCGAAGGTCACCCATTTACTAAGAAGATAGAAATATTAAGGGTGAATTTTATTTGGGCTTCAGCTTGGTGTTTGTGGCTTGAAGGAAACACTAAGGTTTTCAACATCAAACAAAAATCCTTGGGGATTTTTCTAGATTAAGTTACTTTTGTTGGCCTTTCTTGGTGTAAATTCTATGCCCCTTTCAATTGTTATGGCTTAACTTTTCTTTGTGCGACCTTTTTGTAACTTCCTTTCCTTGGGGCTTTTGGTTCTCGCCCTCCTATAAATGAAATGTTTATTATTATTATTATTATTATTATTATTATTATTATCATCATCATCATCTTTGAGCATAAAAAACAAGAACGAGGAAAAGATTCTGAGAACCAACTTTCTTCACGAATGTCAACTTTGTTTCATAAGCATAAATTATATAGTATAATAATAATTATTATTATTTTCTTTTTATAAGAAAGAACCATTTGGAAAAATGTTCATATTTCTTTTTTTCTTTCCTTTTGCATCTATTTATCATAATCCTAATACAGATGTGTTTTGTTTATTTATTTGATTTGTAATGGGTTTGCATAGACAAATATTTGAAATAGAACATAGGAAAGTTGTGAAGTATAAATCAAAACAAAGTTCATGGATAGAGTTGAGAATAAATGTTACGAAATTGACGTAAGATTCAAACTTGAAATTAACTTGTATGCTAGATTTGCGTTTTCACTTTCCCCTTGCATCATAATTTTCCAAAGCAGCGCAGGGATCACTGAAGGTTTCTCAATGTGCGGTGGTGATTTTGTTGAAGTATACAGCGATCCAAGCCAAGTAGGTAAGCAATTGTATAAGTTGACTGCTTATATGATTAAGATACCAGTAAAGACTGCACTATGATCTCCAATCCTCACTGTAGCAACGGTACTTATGAATGATTGAATCTTTAGCTTTAATAAGGAAATTGGAGAGGAACTATTATTATCATACTATGTGCATGAAAGTTTTGATTGTTGGCTGATTTCCGCATGTTGTTTGGGATGCGTTCACAGGACTTTGGGATGCAGTTGTGACTTGTTTTTTCATTGATACTGCTCATAATATTATTGAATACATAGAGGTCATATCCAGAATCTTGAAAGATGGAGGAGTAAGAGCTCTCTCTCTCTCTCTCTCTCTAGTAAATGTTTTAATAACAAATTGGTGTCGAACATATATTAACAAGTCAAGTGACAGGTGTGGATAAATCTGGGTCCCCTGCTATACCATTTCGCAGATATGTATGGTCAAGAAGATGTACGTTTCTCATCCCTTAACTTACTGCCCCAGAACGCTCTTAGAGTCTGAACGGGTCCAATTATTTATTTTTTCAGGAAATGTCCATTGAACCAAGTCTAGAAGATGTGAAGAGAATTATATTGCATTACGGCTTTGTGTTTGAGGTAACTGTTGAGTGTAAACAATATTCATTTTTTTTTTTTCTGTATCATTTATGCTAACGTGGACTTCATCAATGATTCGTTTATCTCACAGAAGGAAAGGACAGTTGAGACGACATACACAACAAATCCTAAATCAATGATGCAAGTAAGCTTTATTGTGTCTTCATTCTAGGAAACAATTTTCTTAAGATCATGAAATGTAGTTGTATTGTTTTGGTTGTTAAAGACTCAAATTCGTGTTGCTCAATCTTGAAATGTCTAGAACGGTAGATAGAATCCATTCTCATCTTGAACTTTTAAAACTCTCGTTTTTCCTCCATTTTGTTGCATTAAACGTAGAAGTTTACACGCTCTTTGCAGAATCGATATTATGCTGCATTCTGGACCATGAGAAAAAAATCAACTACAGAGAACCCGACTAGTTAATCGCTCTCCCACAGTGCGCGAGTTCCTACATTGCTGCATAGTATTGTCTTTCTTTTTGTTTTTCTATTTGTCAGAGAGTTTGCTTAGGATACAAAAAAAATTGAAGATATTTTTTTTAGTGGTATTCCAACATCTAAGTAACCGATGGTATCTGCTTGCAGAGTTCTTAAATTATCGGAAGTCTTTATGAGTCGATCGTTGCATTCTTTTTCAAGGTGTGTGTGCCTTGAAAATATCAATTTTAACTGTTCCCAGTACATATGATATTTTGATGGTGAGCCGTTGTGTACTATAAAGTTGGATGTTGGATCTTTTGACAGGTAGAAAATGAACCACCAATAGTGGCATTGCTCTTTTTTTCCTTTTTTCCTTCTCTTTCTAGAGTATTATATTACATCTCCAAGTTCAATGACATATAGGGGTGGAGAATAGAATCGAACCTCTAACCTTACACCACAAATTCAAAAGGTTTTTTTTAGTTTAGTAACATGTAAGAGTGAAGATTTGAATGTGATTGTACACCTACAAATTATTTATATATGACTTATTTGACTAGAATTTGGTGTATTATCCGCTAAGTTTAGGTTTAGCAAGGTTGGATTTCTATTTTCTTTGCAAGTTTTTATTATAAAAGAGGTTTGAGAGCAAAACCATCATTGAGGAACATGACAGGATGCTATTTAGAGTGAGAGGTCCTATTGTCATGGGGGTAAGGTCGAGAACCCTTTCTTACTCGTTCTTGTTCTTTTTCTTTTTCTCTCTCTATCTATTCAAGGGATGGAACAATACAGGACTTTGGTGTCTCGTTTGGTCAAGAATTGGAGCCTTATAATCATCAACCAATATGTTTTTATCTCACATCTTTTTTTCTTTCGTGATTTGATATTTTGGTGTCCTACGTATAGAAAAAATATATATATCTAGCTGATGTTAAAAGTCATCACTTGTTAGAATAGTCAAGGTGTGTGCAAGTTGATCTAGATACTAACAGTATTTACATACTTTTTTTCATTAGATCATCTTCACTTATTTTTGTAGAAATATAGGGTAAGAAAGGGAGATTAGAGACTCTGTCTAAAATCATCATGATCAATGTAAGATCACTTCAGTAATCTGTCAATCCAGATGATCATAAAGTTGAGAGATATAAATTGAAAAAAAAAAAAAAAAACTAAAATAAGCTGTTTAAATATTTGTCAGCATAATCATAGTTCATCGAACCAATTTGTAGCTGAAATCTCCATCCCACCATTCTGGTTCAATGTGTGGATAAAGAAAAAACCATCTTGCCAAAATTCAACGGTAAAGCAATTTTGTTCCCAAATCAATTCTTGTTCCTCCCTTTCATCTGGGGGCAGCGGCATTCAATCCGTTTGTGCGAGAACCCCCGATTCTCCAAACATGATTTCAATCTGTTCATGCGGACGTGAAATCCTTAATTTTCTGGAGAATCCAACTTCAAGTCCGCGAACAGAGAAGGCGTCTTGTCTCTAACGAGTTCATCAAAGTTCAGTTCCAAAGATGAAATCCAACGTCAGGTCTATTGGGGTGAAGGGAAGCTCTGTTTTTAATCAGAATTTAAGGATTACCCAGTTGGGAAAATTAGGTCGCATTGAAGAAGCTGTTGCAGTTTTCTCGCGGATGACTGAGAAGAACACTGTGACGTACAACTCGATGATCTCTGTCTATGCCAAAAATGGGAGGATAGCAAATGCACGTAAGTTGTTTGATGCAATGCCTCAAAGGAACTTGGTTTCATGGAACTCCATGATCGCGGGTTACCTGCACAATGAGTTAGTTGAGGAAGCAGCCAAACTGTTTGATAAAATGCTCAAAAGAGACCTCTACTCATGGACTTTGATGATAACTTGTTATACACGTATTGGAGAGCTTGAGAAAGCAAGGGAGCTTTTCAATTTGCTTCCTGATAAGCAAGACATAGTTTGTTGTAATGCACTTATTGCTGGATATGCTAAGAAGAGACGGTTCGACCAGGCGAAAGAGCTATTTGATGGAATGTTGGTTAAGAATATAGTTTCTTGGAATTCTATGTTATCAGGCTACACCAAGAATGGGGAAATGCAGTCAGGGCTGCAGTTCTTTGAGGCCATGGGAGAAAGGAATGTGGTTTCATGGAATTTAATGGTTGATGGGTATATTCGGGTTGGTGATTTGGATTCTGCCTGGATGATTTTCAGGCAAATTCCGACCCCAAATGAGGTATCCTGGGTGACAATGTTATCTGGTTTTGCCCATTATGGTAGGATCACCGAAGCTCGGAATCTGTTTGACGAGATGCCGAGTAAGAATTTGGTTTCTTGGAATGCTATGATCGGAGCTTATGTACGAAACAACCAAATCGACGATGCTTATAAGCTATTTATGGAAATGCCAGAAAAGGACTCTGTATCATGGACTACCATGATCGATGGGTATGTTCGAGTTGGTAAACTTTCTCAGGCAGGGGAAATTCTAGGTCTCATGCCTTATAAGAACATAGCAGCTCAAACAGCAATGATCAATGGCTATGTACAGAGTAGCAGAATGGATGAAGCCAATGAGATTTTTAGTCAAATTTCTGTGCGTGATAGTGTTTGTTGGAATACCATGATCACTGGCTATACTCATTGTGGAAGAATGGAAGAAGCTCTTTGTCTGTTTCGAGAAATGATATGCAAAGACATGGTTTCATGGAATACTATGATTTCTGGTTATGCTCAAGCAGGACAAATGGATAAAGCGCTAGGAATGTTTAATGAGATGCAAGAGAGAAATATTGTCTCTTGGAACTCTCTGATAACAGGGTATGTGCAAAATGGGTTATACTTTGAGGCACTGAATTGTTTCATATTGATGAAACAGCAAGGGGAGAAGCCTGATCAATCAACTTTTTTGTGCTGCTTGCGGGCATCTGCCAATCTTGCAACTTTGAAAGTTGGAGTTCAACTTCACAATCTCACTATCAAGAGTGGTTTTGGCAACAACTTATTTGTTAAGAACGCAATAATAACCATGTATGCAAAAAGTGGAAGAGTTCTTCATGCTGAAAGTATCTTTTCTGAGATCAACAACAAAGATGTGGTCTCATGGAATTCTATGATAGCTGGATATGCACTAAATGGGTATGGAAAAGAAGCTGTTGAGCTTTTTGAAGAGATGTCAATAAGAGGTGTCATTCCGGATGAAGTTACCTTCACTGGCTTGTTATCTGCATGCAATCATGGTGGTTTTGTGGATCAGGGTTTGAATTTGTTTAAGTGCATGACTGACACATACTTAATAAAACCCTCATCAGAGCATTATGCTTGTGTGGTTGACTTGCTTGGTCGTGTGGGTAGGCTAGAAGAAGCCGTGGAAATGGTGGAGGGGATGGAAAATGTGTCAAGTGCAAAAATATGGGGTGCATTGCTATGGGCTTGCAGGATGCATCATAACTTGGATCTAGCTAAGTATTCAGCTGAGAGGCTTTTAGCACTTGAACCACAAAATGCTTCAAATTATGTACTATTATCAAACATGCATGCTGGGGTAGGGAGATGGGATATGGTTGAGAGCATCAGGGTCTTAATGAAACAAAATAAGGCTGAGAAGCAACCTGGCTGCAGTTGGATTGAAATCAACAATCAAGTGCACTGTTTTTTATCTGAAGCTCCACCAGACTTGAGGCCAGAAATTTGCAACATATTGAGAACTGTTACTGCACAGATAAGAAACACAGTGGATATATTATGAGTGATTACTGATATGTATCAGTTAAGAGTAAATAGATCAGGTAGAGTGGTTTTGGAGATTTTTCCATATTCTCCATCTTTTGTAGATGAGCCAATGTCTGAACGGTCCATGAAATGCAGGTTTTGATAAACATTTCACTTCAGCTTGTAATTCCTGATATTGTGAGAATCCCAATAAGGGTGTGGAAACCTTTCCCTAACAGACGCATTTTAAAGCCTTGAGGAAAAATCCGAAAGAGAAAGCCTGAAAGGAAAAACCTAAAGAATGACAATATCTAGTAGCAGTGGGCCTGAGTCATATATGTAAAGATATTAAACGAAACAAAAGAAACTTGTATCAATGAGAAAAGAATAAGAGACAAATGGGAATTAGATACCTTGCGAAAATATTACAGAAAATCACTACACAGTTGAAATGTTAATGATCAGATATAACAGATACTAAATTATACAGTAAAGATCTGGGTGTCTTCTCGTCTTGTCTTCTGAGTCCTTGGATTCCTCTCATTTCATTGACTTGTCAAGATAAACTTTTCAATATTCCTCAATAAAGTAGGAGAAAATGAGTCTGGTAAGAGAAATCCTTAATTTGCATGGAAGCCTAACAGGAGCACCTTTGATAAGATGAAAAAGAGAACAGTAAAAAACAGTTTATACAAAAAATGAGCAGGAGATACAGCATAACAGCAAGAGGTTCCCTTCTGCTTCAGGTTTTCATCTCTGAAATTTACAATCATTCATGTCCGAACTCAAAGATGTAGCATCTAATATCCTCACTTATCCAACTGCTCTTAATGTAGCATCTAAGCTGTCCAGATTTCAGCGTTTTAAAGATTTTCTCTTCCTTGAGAAAATCGAAGATGAAACTGTCCTGACTTAGGCCAACACAATTATGCAACCGATCGAGCCTCCTCACTGTCAGGAAGGACTATATCGAGCCTCATCATTGGGAAGTATTTCTTGGGGATCTGTGCCCCTGCCTGCATGCACACTTCAACCACAGCAGGAGCCTTACCATAGAATCTCTTTAATGTACCGATCAATGGTGAGCCTTTTGGATCAGGAACATGCCAAACATAATTTGGAGGCAGTACTTCGTCTAAAGTTGCATCCTGCCAACCATGCTTTCCATCCCTCCATTGGTGCTTAAATTCTCCACATAGCTTAGCATTATGACCCCATGGTCCCACATGAACCTCGGAGCAGTACCCACAAGCCTTCACTGTATACTTCCTCATTAACATCCTTACACCAGACCTAACAGTTTCATATGCCTCGATTGTTTCTTGAGCAATTCTAGGGACATCTACAGGTAGAGGAGGTGCAAATCGTTGAGAAGCCCCTTGTGTATCGAAATCAAGAAGAGGGTAAGAATCAGCAGATTGCCAAGGCTTAGGCTCCTCAATATTTCCACCTCGATCAATTACCTTCTTTCCGATCATTCGGATGGGTTTAGTCCTCCTACGTGACGGGTACTCTGGTATATCCACACCGGCCTGGATGCAGAGCTCTACAACAGCTGGAATTCTATCATATTCAAATCGTGTTTCATGCTTAATGCGCCGACCAAAAGGATCGTAGAGATGGTATGACTCAATAGGGACTAAGACATCATTGATAGAACCAGTAACCCATGAGTGGAAGCTTCGACGCTTTTCATTGGTAGGACCAAGACAATCTTGAATATGGTGGCCTGATTGGGCTACATGAACTTCTGAACATTCCCTACACAGAATCAAAGGACGAACTAATATTCAGCATAGCTATGAATTTTACAATTAACTCACTGAAAGACTAGAAATACACAGCTAAACGAGTTCTCCAAAAATATGTTATACGGAGATTTCTCAACCAGAAAAGATCTACCTGCAAGCATATACTGGAATAACATGTAGAAGATGGGAAAGGCCCTTAATCAAAATTTTCCAAGCATCCAGTACTTCATGAGCGACAGGTATCAAATCAGGGACAAGTAAACCATTTTTCCCAGGTTCAAGCGGTTTCTCTATACCCTTTTGTGCAAGCTCTTTGTCAGCTTTTGCAGCCTGCTTGATTTGCTTCAGGGGAATAGGATAGGGTTTCTTTTTCCTTTTAGGCAATATGGTTGGAAGATCCACATTCTGACGATACACTTCTCGTCTCTTCGAAATAGGATCTTTTCCATATTCCTGACTGGTATAGGATAAAGTCCTTAGTGATGTTGGCAATTCTTGAGACAACAGTTTGTGCGCAAACTGCAACAGAAGAATAATACAACATCTTATTTGTCTTGAAGAGTCTATCACAAGAGATAGAATAACACAAAAAACCAATAGAAATTCCGATCTTCATCACAAGACTGATCAGATCTGCCTTATCTTCAATTATAAAGTGAAATCACGGCTCACATAAATGGATGTCCTCAGAGTCAGAGATACAAAATATTGAAGAATGAATAAAAACTTTACAGACGTCAACGAGCAACATTTCTTCCCTTAAGCGTAAAACTTCAGATTGTATGGCTAGATGACACAGAACCATCATTTACCAAAACTAAGAATATTCATGTTTAAAATTCTTTGAGAGGATACTTTATGATTTCGAAGTAGGAATACAAACCAAGATCATGATGTGGTAATATAAACACGTCTTGGTAAAGAACCCCAAATCCATAGCCAGGCATGTCATTTCATCAACAAAATCACTAGAACACAAAAATTTGCGATTTGATTAAGTATCTAAACCTTCACTCGAGGAGTATGTGATCTTAGAGCAGACAAGTGCCGGCTCGTAAACTCCACATTGCCAATGAAGAAACCTACAAGCATGCAGCGAAATCAGTCAGACATAAACTCAAACCATTGTTCTACAATAACACCCCTATCAGACTTCAATTGAAATCAAATGGCAGTTGTTTCTAAGCGGTTACGGAATCGGATAGCCTCCAACTGGTGAACAACAATGGAGCAATGAAGGAAACCATTCCTATAATTCAAGACAAAATTCCAAACTCACAGGAAAAGGAAAACAAATTTCTACCAGTTTGAGATGGATCCAAAAAACAAGTAGAAACCGCCGGTAGCATCTGGAGCATCAAGTCGCCGATTCTCTAGCCAGCTCGTCCCCTTGTAAAAGAAACCAAACATGATATCGGTGCCAACAGAACACAAAACAAGCAGAAAGCATATTCCACCGATTCGAACAATAAGAATCCAAGCACTACGCCACACAGTCACCGGGAGATTAAAATTACAACAACAATATTTAGCAAACTTGTAATTTTCAGAAACAAAAACGATGGAGAATTGAGAGCTAAGCTATAATATAACAGTAATTCCGAACAGTTCAAAGAAAATACACCGTGAAGTTGAAGAAGGTGCTGTGGTTACCGCCGGAGCTGAGGGAGAAAGAGAAACTCCTCGATTCTGTCTGAAGCAGTGGGAAATAACAAAATTTTCGATTTTTCTGTTTTAATTTTTTATGTAATATATAAATAATACTAAATTAATAAAAATATCCGAAAACATTAAAAAAAAAATTAAAATTAAAATTTTTAATAATATCCTAAAACTTATTTTAGAAAAATATAAAATTACATTTTTTTAAATAATTTAAAGAATGAATTAGAAATTTTATCCACCAAATTAATATCTTATTTTATATATTTTTTTACTAGCCAGTTTTAATGTTTGAGAATATTATTATAAATAATTTTAAGATATTAAATTAGAAAAATACCAAAATATATATTTAACTTAATTTTTTTTTCTTCTAATATAGATGAACTTAAATTATGATATTTTGAAATACCAAAATAAGATTTTTTTTTTTTTTTAATTTAATGACTTCATAATTACAACAATATCGTTAATTTAATAATTTTTAAATTTTTAAATTTTTTTTCTTTAATTGAATTATCTGTAGACCGAAAATTGCGACCACAACTCGCAGTATTTTCAAATACAACGCCACTGAACGATTCGGTACACGCCACGTGTACATTTTACCACGTGGCAAATATTCATTGGTCGTATGACTTCACGCTTTCCACGTAGGATCTTCCCATAAATTCCCGAACTTCCCTCCCTCGTCTCAGTATTACTATTAGTAGAAAGAGAGAGATTTTGGGTTTTCTTTCAACGTTTCTCGTCGTCAACTAAACTAAGCTTCGTCATGGACAATGCCATCAACGTTTTGCTGGTTTGCTTCTCCTTCTGAATCGCCATTGTTGCTGCCCTTCTCCCGATCCTCTGCTTTTTTGGTAGATTTTCTCAATGTTGTTTTTTTTTCTAATTTGTTTCGCGCTCTTTTTTGTGTAAATGGTTGTTAATTTGAAGCTTTTTCGATCTGTTTGTTTTATAATGTGGCTGAATTGTATTGAAATGCATGTTTGATGTGTGTTTTTTTTTTTTTATTGTTTTGTTGCTGTTTGGGCAGAGTTGAAGAGTAGAGAATGGCGTCGATCTTAATGAAGTTCGGGTTATTGTTTTTTGTTTTTTCTCTAATTTTCTATCCGTCGGATTCTGCTGTTTCGAGCATAGATCTGGGGTCTGAATCGGTTAAAGTTGCAGTCGTGAATTTGAAACCTGGACAGAGTCCAATTTCGATCGCGATCAATGAAATGTCGAAGCGTAAATCTCCGGCCTTGGTGTCTTTTCAATCGGGAACTCGTCTAATCGGCGAAGAAGCGGCCGGTCTCGTTGCCCGGTATCCTAATAAGGTGTTTTCCCAAATCAGGGACATGGTTGGGAAGCCTTATAACTATGTTAAAAGTTTGACAGACTCATTGTACTTACCGTTTGATATTGTGGAAGATTCAAGGGGTGCTGTTGGTTTCAAAACTGATGACAATGTGACTGTTTACTCGATTGAGGAATTATTGGCAATGATTTTGGCTTATGCTTCGAATTTAGCTGAGTTCCATTCGAAAGTGCCGGTGAAAGATGCTGTAATTTCTGTGCCACCGTACTTTGGGCAAGCAGAGAGAAGAGCACTACTACAAGCAGCGCAACTGGCTGGGATAAATGTACTTTCATTGATCAATGAACATTCGGGTGCAGCACTTCAATATGGAATTGATAAGAATTTTGCCAATGAGTCGAGGCATGTTATTTTCTACGATATGGGTTCAAGCAATACTTACGCGGCCCTTGTTTATTTTTCGTCTTACAATGCGAAAGAGTACGGGAAGACTGTGTCAGTCAACCAATTTCAGGTATATTATGCTCAACATAGTTTCAAGTATCCATTGGTTGTTTTTCAAACTAATTTTGATTTATCCACTTGCTGCAGACAAATTGTTCTTTTTTGTTTGAATGTTATTGTTGGTATAAGAAAAAAAAAAAAAAATCTCGAGACCCTTCCTATAAAAATATAGATGCTTTTATTCGAGATTCTGAAATTTTGTTGATAGATTGTACTTGAGAGTTCAGTTAATTTAGCAACCAAGGGTTTGGCTTGGTTTAGCCTCAATTCGACCTTGGCTGACTATGTCCAGAAGAACACTAGGATTAATAGCTTTATCTATATTTAGTTGTTACTCTTGCCTTTGTTTAGTCTTGGTAGATGAAAGAACTGTCCTGTATATATATATATATATATATTGCAGTATTGCACCATACAAGGTTATCGGGTTAAAAAACTGGATTGTGTATAAAGGGACAATGATGCAACGCCAGACTACTCTATTGAGAACGTTATATTAATGAGACTAAAGCCAAAATGGGAACGATTTAGAGGCTTGTTTATGTTTCAGTTTTGCCTTTTAACCAGATCTAATTTGCATGAACGATGACCCTTTACAAAAAAACTGGTACTTTGTAGTTTAATCCTGGTGATTAAAAAGTGGAAGTTTTATTATCGACACTGTTATTATTATTCTCCAAGTTGACAATGTTCAGCCTTTATTTTCCTATGGTAAATATTTTGTGGTTTTCGCTCTTTATACTAGTGCTTCTGTGCCTTGCCATATCTTAGCAACTTTGGCATACTGTATAGGTGAAGGATGTTAGATGGGACCCAGAACTCGGGGGCCAGAATATGGAATTACGGCTGGTTGAATATTTTGCTGATCAGTTCAATAAACAAGTTGGGAATGGTGTGGATGTAAGGAACCATCCCAAGGCTATGGCAAAATTGAAGAAACAAGTTAAACGAACTAAAGAAATTTTGAGTGCAAATACAGCCGCTCCAATATCAGTTGAATCTCTCTATGATGATCGAGATTTTAGGTAAGTAGAGTTCTTCATAAGGAATCTTTTTTCAAATGTATGTACATATATTTGGAAACTTAAATGCTGTATTTGCCATAGTATTCAACAAAAATAGCTTGATTCATGGTATGGTTGAATATCTTAGAACTATAGAGAAAAGGTGTCTAGACTGCTGAAAACCTTGCGTAAGCTCATGAGCAACAATTTCTACTCTTTATGTAGCTTTTACATGATAGCCGTCCTTCTTTCTTATTTACCAAATATGCATTTCCTGTGTGTGTATCCCCATCTTGCTACTCATAAGTGGAATTATGAGCTTATGATGCCTTGGCCCTATGAATCATGAATACTGTTGCTTTATTCTGATCTTCTCCGTAACCTGTTTCTATTTCAGGAGCACCATAACACGGGAAAAGTTCGAAGAGTTGTGTGGGGATTTGTGGGAGAAATCTCTTTTACCCGTGAAAGAACTATTAAAGCATTCAGGTTTAAAAATGGATGATATATATGCTGTGGAATTGATTGGAGGTGCTACACGGGTTCCAAAATTACAGGTTGGAAGTCAACTGTCTTCCTCTTTATTTCAAACGTTATTTTTCTTTGTAATTGTAGCTTTTGTTCCTGTGTTTACTTTTCATTATCATCTTGCAACCTTCCAATATGATGGATTTTTCACCCTCCGCATGCTGATGCTTTTGTCATTGTAATTTCTGAAAGGAATAGCACTGCGATCAGTTTATCTCAATGGAATTTTCCTAGTTCCTTGCTAGATATATTTTCAGCTGAAAATTGGTACCCGTATGTGCTGCTTTTCTTGTTCCTCAAAAGTTGAAGCCAATGGACGAAAGAAAGCAATTACTTATTTTTCTTTAAAAAAAATAGAAACTAAGTTGAAGGAAAAGGACAATACAAATACAAAGAAGCCTATGATGAGTAAATAAAATCACCTCAATTAATACAATTGTAATATCTGAATTACAGCTAAAGCTTTATGATTGACGCAATTTCACTTCGGATGAATTTAGATCTATGTTCCCTTCAGACATGCACCTACATGCCAGGAACAGTGATTAGACACATGTATCCTTTCAAATGTTTTTTTTTTTTTTTTTCCTTTTCTTTTCAAGTAAATTATGAATAAATTATTAATAATTGAAAATATAGTAACTGTTTATCATTTCTCCTTTTATTGTTAAATTGTTATTTAACAGGTATGGTGTGACGCACAACTATCAGTTTATGGTCACTATCCTCTGTTAATAATAAGCATTTCCCTTTTTGATAATTAGTCTGAAATAAATAGTTTGATTTTAGTCTGTTCACTCTTTAATTTCTTCAATTGAGTCTTGAGAATTTTTCTGTTAAGAATAATTCTTTTTTCTTCCCCTTCTGACAGGCAAAACTCCAGGAGTTCCTTGGAAGGAATGAGCTGGACAAACATCTGGATGCTGATGAAGCTATTGTACTTGGTGCAGCTCTCCATGCTGCCAATTTAAGTGATGGAATCAAATTGAACCGTAAGCTTGGAATGGTGGATGGTTCTCCCTATGGATTGGTTGTTGAGTTAGATGGCCCTGATCTCGTAAAGGATGAGAACACTAGGCAAGTGCTTGTACCACGCATGAAGAAACTCCCCAGTAAGGTAAATAAATGATATTGACCTATTATATCATGAATCTGCCGTAAAGTATTCGACTATTTTCTTACTGTATAAATTTTTGGACTTGCATGCATTATAGATGTATAGATCAGTCGTCCACAATAAGGATTTTGAAGTTTCACTTGCATATGAGAACGATCTTCTTCCACCTGGTGTCAGCGTTCCCATATTTGCTCAATATGCTGTTTCTGGTTTGACGGATACTAGTGAGAAGTAAGGACTGCCAATTACCTGATCTACTAGCAGATCTATTTAATCAAGCTACTAGCCTTTGAGCTTAACAGATAATATGCTGGGTTCCAAATCTCAGTGTGATTTCTCTTAATGTATTCTGTAGGTATTCAACTCGGAACTTGTCATCTCCCATCAAGGCAACATTACACTTCTCTCTCAGTAGAAGTGGAATTTTGTCTTTGGATCGGACAGATGCTGTTATTGAGATATCAGAATGGGTAGATGTACCTAAGAATGTTTCAGTTGATAATTCAACAATTGCTTCCTCCAATGCAACTGTGGAGGATTCTGGAAAGACTTCAGAAGAAAAGAATGACACCTTGATCCCTGAAAATGGTGGGGTTGGTAACACATCCAACCCTAGTACAGAAGAACAAGGTACACCTGAGCTTGTTACTGAAAAAAAGCTGAAAAAGCGAACTTTAAGAGTTCCACTCAAGGTTAGTGCAGTGGCTATTGTGTTGTGAGTTATTAAATTGATTAGCAATTAGACCTCGTGTTCCTTGTAGGAGTTAATCCGGTATGGATTAATATATTTTTAACACATTTTATCTTCATTCTCTGTTTTGTTATATGATTTAAAGATCGTTGAGAAGACTGTGGGGCCAGGAATTCCTCTTTCCAAAGAATCTTTTGCTGAAGCCAAAAGTAAATTAGAAGCACTGGACAAAAAGGATGCAGAGAGAAGAAGAACTGCCGAGCTTAAAAATAACTTGGAAGGATATATATACGCTACCAAGGAGAAGGTTAGGGGTTCTTCATCATTCTTAAATTCCTGTGGATTTTTTGAGTTCTTATTTATAAGAAGCATAATAATATTAGTCAACTTTTATCCCATTAATTTCAATTAGAGGACTTGAAGTGTCGGAGCAAAAATTAAAAAGGAAAAACAAATCAAAGCAGGAACTATTAAGTTGTTATATTTTAGGTTGTTTACTGTTTTTTATTAAATTATTTGCCCGCTTGAAAGCTTATTTTCTAGTAGTAGGTTGCTTACCTTCTCCATCTCATAGACATAGTTGATCAACTGTACGACATTATGCATTTGAGATGTCGGAGCATGGATGTATCCGAACATAAATACTATTTTCCATTGTTTAGTTCCCCTCGACTCATTTTTAAATGTTCATTTTCAAACTGATGTCTAATAAGCATGCTGTTTGAAACTTTGAAGTTAAATAAGTTGACATTATGAACTGGACTTCTCTAATATGAATATACAAACTGTGAATAAATAGGTTAGGGTAAGCTATAAAATGTGTTTTAGCAGATACAAAGAATAATACCATAATTAGGCTTATCAATTTGTGATTGCCAAGAATATTGTTCGGATGATACATACATAATCATTATATGCTTCCTTGTTTATAACTTGTAAGGGTTAAAGTACTGGAATATCCATATTTTATCACTTGGATTTGGATCCACATATTCTCTTAGGCAAGGATGACATATCATTCATTTTTGAAAGCGTGGCTCTGGGTTTCCTCTTCTATCCTTACCACTATGAATATCAGTAGCCCACTGTCTTATTCTTTGCTGCAGTTTTCTACTTCTGTAGCAATCCTTCTCATGCCTATTTTTATTGATTTGTTTTATTATTCATGCCAGTTTGAAACCTCCAACGAGTTGGATCAAGTTTGTACAAGTGAGGAACGTCAAGCTTTTAATGAGAAACTTGATGAGGTTAGGATTTTCTTTTGGGGGTATTGGGATGATGCTTGTCACGAAGCTTAAATCACTACATTTTTATCTTTAGGTACAAGATTGGCTATATATGGATGGTGAAGATGCTTCTGCTACAGAATTTCAAGAACGCCTTGACATGTTAAAAGGCATCGGTGACCCAATATTCTTCAGGTACTTATAAATGACTGGAGTGCCTTATATGTCTGTAAATTGTACTGAGCTTAGTATCCCAATATAAGCGTGCTATGGTACCAAAGTTAACATTATGGCCAATAAAGTTTTACATAACGATCTATTTCCTTAACCTAGATTGAAAGAGGTACCTGCAAGACCTCAGGCTGTTGAAGCAGCTCGCAAATATCTTCTTGGCCTGCAAACGGTATGCCTGTTTTTTATTATTTGAATTTAAGTTTTTTATTATCTGTGTTTGATGCTTATGCATGCAAAACCTTAATTGACCAAGATATTGAATGGTTCCATCAATCTAAAGTCTGTCTTACAAGGATTCTGTTCTGATGGTTAGGGCTCATTTTTGGAAGGATCTTGGCATTTAGATATTAGTCTCTAGTTGTAGTATTCGTGACCAGATTGTCTTTATACCTTGCTAAGAATATCCTGATTTCTTCTCTTATTTCTCCAATGTGTAATTCCTCTTTTGTTGATATAGTGTTCTTGTGCCCTTAGTGATGGTGAGTTCAGAGTTAGCTTCTCTGTGTTCTATAATTAGACGTGTAATCTCTTCTGAGCAAAGAGATTATCTCCTGGGATGTCTTTACTTCCAAATTGTAGCACAATTGTTCCGCTTCTTTTCCCTTCTTATTTCTCCCCTTTCTTCTCTGAATTGTGGAGGCTGAAAGGTTTTAGACGATTAGGGAGGGTTAGTGGGTTGACTTTATTTAGAAATCTTCCATTTCGTTCCCAATTATTTTCTTTTGTGTACGTGTGTATTGAAGGATTTGAATCACTTGTGCTAATGCCCTTATGCAAAGGCCGATTACTTTGTCAAGCTGGTTTAATTGTTGTGTGGAACTTATGGTTAGAAAGAAAGAGAAGTTTTTAGGTTTTGATAATTCATATACATGTGAAGAAATTTATGGTTTAGTGCATTCTAACGCTTCTCCTTTTGGATTCATTCTTCTGATCTAAATCCTTTTCTAACTTATCTTTTTCTTTTTCCTCTCCTTCTTCTTCGTCCCCTCCACCCCCCCCCCCCCCCCCCCCCCCCC